GTTTCTTATTACCCACCTTCTGAAGCCTGATTCTGTCAATTCATCACACTCATTCTCCATCCAGCCTTGTTCCCTTGCTGGTAAGGAGTTGTGATCCCTTGTAGGAGAAGAGGCGTTCTGGTTTTGGGTGTTTTCATCCTTTTTGCGCTGGTTTCTTCCCATCTTTGTGGATTTATCCACCTGTCATCTTTGCAGTTGTTGACTTTTAGATTGGGTCTCTGAGTGGATGTCCAGTTTGTTGATGATGAAGTTATTTTTTTTCTGTTTCTTAGTTTTCCTTCTGACAGTCTGGCTCCTCTGCTGTTAGACTGCTGGAGGTCCACTCCAGGCCCTGCTTGCCTGGGGATCACCTGCATTGGCTGCAGTACAGTAAGGGTTGTTGCCAGTTTATTCTTCTGGTATCTTTGCAACAGAAGGATACCTGCCAAATGTCAGTCTGAGCTCTCCTTTATGAGATGACTGTTTGGATATACGGGGTTCAGGGAGCTGCTTGGGGAGACAGTCTGTCCTTTATAGGAGCTCAAGTGCTGAGCTGTGAGCTCCATTGTTCATTTAGAGCTGCTGGGCAGGTATGTTTAAGTCTGCAGCAGAACCCATAAACCCCTTTTTTTCTCAGGTGCTCTGTTCCGGGGAGTTAGGGCTTTATTTATGAGTTTCTGTTGTGCTACTGCCTTTTTTACAGGGCTGCCCTGCCCAATGAGGAGGGAGCCTAGTCACTGTCTGCCCATAGAGGCTTTGCTGAGCTGCTGTGGGCTCCGCCCAGCTGCCCTGTGAACTTCCCTGTAGTCCTGTTTATAAGGGTGTAGTTAGAACTGCCTTGGCAAAGCTGGCCCTTCCCTGCAGTCCTGTTTATATGGGTGTAGTTAGAACTGCCTTGGCAAAGCTGGCCCTTCCATGCAGTCCTGTTTATATGGGTGTAGTTAGAACTGCCTTGGCAAAGCCGGCCCACCTCTGTAATGGTGGGTCGCTTCGGCAACAGCGAGCTGCCTCAGCAATGGCGGACTACCTCCGTAGTGGTGGAGTGACTCGGTAATGGCAGATGCCCCTCCCCCACAAAGCTGGACCTTTCCGGGTTCAGCTGTGCTTGGTGTGAAACTCTCAACCCAGAGCATTTCCAATTGCTGTTTTTTGGTGAGGGTCAGACCAGCCGAGCCTGATCACCTGGCTCCCTGCCTCAGAGCCTTTTTTTAGTTGCACGGTTGACTCTCTCTCAGGTGTTCCAGTTGCCTGTTGAACAGGCTCTGGGGTCTGTGTGATTTCCCATGCAGTGACCCACTGCTGCGGCTTAAACAGCAGTGCTGAGATTCGTGGTGCTTTTTTGCCCTGGAATCTCCTGGCCTGGCTCCCTGTTTCAGTCCCCTTTTTAATCAGATGAATGAGCGACTCTGCCTTCCCAGAGCTCCAATCGCCAGCTAAAACGGCACCCAGACCCATGTATTTTGTAAGGAGAACCGCCGCCCCAGGGTGCCAGCAAAACAGCCGTGCCAGCCAAAACAGCGTCACTGGTGAACCGTGGGTCTCCTCCGCCTGGGAATCTCCTGGTCTGTAGGCAATAAAATTCCATCTGTAAATGTGGCATCCACTCACCCGCTGCACTTTCGCTGGGAGCTGCAATCCTGAGCTGTTCCTAATTGGCCATCTTGGATCCCTCCTCAGCACATCCTTCTTGACTGTCACCAGGCCAGCAGCAACTGTAAGATGCATCCCAATTTGAGGAACCTTTAAGTGTGAAAACATGTGCATCTTAGAATTATGACATTGGTGATAAAAATTGATAGTTATTTCTTAAAGAGGATGGGTTTACCTCTCAGGAAACTTTTCAAGAGTTATTTTTTAAAACTAAGCCTCCGTGGTGGCTCACACCTGTAATCCCAGCACTTTGGGAGGCTGAGGCAGGGGGATCACAAGGTCAGGAGTTCAAGACCAGCCTGACCAAGATGGTGAAACCCCATCTCTACTAAAAATACAAAAAATTAGCTGGGCGCCATGGCGGGTACCTGTAATCCCAGCTACTCGGGAGGCCAAGGCAGGAGAATCACTTGAACCCAGGAGGCAGAGGTTTCAGTGAGCTGATATTGCACCACTGTACTGCAGCCTGGACAACAGAGTGAGACTCCATCTCAGAAAAAAAAAAAAAATAACACCTCTGCCTCATCCTATTACTGAGAAGGTACATCGTGAATTTTGGCCTTTTCTAAGAGCTTGACAATTTCTCCAAGCAGGTTAGCTGGAGGATTGGGAGGAGCAGAAGATGCCAGAGCAAGAGTCAGCCTTAGGAGGGGACAACTTTTCCCATGACTGTGTTTTACAGTTGCCCAAAGTGTCCTCTTAAATAAGTCATTTATTTGTGCAATGTTGTGATTATTCCCCGCTAAAATACAAATACCCTTAAAAAGGTCATTCAGTGTTCCCCCTGCCTGATTAATGATTTCTCACTTCTGGAATGGATTTTGCCATAGGCTTATTTAAAGGAGCCAACCTTAAAAAAGAAAAATTTTTGAATGTTTTAATAGAGTAAAACTTAGATCATTCAGCCAGTATGGGCCTTATTCTTTAAAAAAAAAAAAAATTTAGATAATAAAAAAATCGCATTGTGTATGATTCTATTTATATGCCTAGTATAGGCAAATCTATAGAGACAGAAGGTAGATGAGTAGCTGCCAGGGGCTGGGTGATAGGTGGAAATGGGAAATCATGGGTACAGAGTTTCTTTTTGGAGAGACAGATTCTAAAACTGGATTGTGGTGATGGTTGCACAACCCTGTGAATATACCGAAAGCATTGAATTGTACATTTTACATAGTGAATTGTATGGTAAGTAAATTATATCTCAATAAAGGCATTAAAAAAACACTTAGAATATGTTGCGTGTGTATTAAATAACCTATTCAGAAATTTTCTACACGTATCCCAATGACATTTATTTAATAATAGCTTAGTAAGAATTATTTTGTTTGAAGCAATTATTTTGCTCAACAGACTCAACAAAGCAAAATGCTAGGGGCTGTGACAAAGGAGATTTGACCTCTCCTTTTAGGACTCCCTAATCAAGGAGGAGCAGGAGAAAGAGACATGCATATAAATCACCCTGGAGGACACAGAAAAGATTCTGTGAGACTCTGGGGATGTTTCTTGGGGAAATCAGGATTTGACTTGGCCTGGAAGGTGTTGTTGGAATGATAGGTATGTAAGGGGGATTGGGGAAGGGATGGAAGTAGAGAAATGTCTCAGATCCTTTGCAAGCTGACAGGGGCTTTCTTAGAAAAAGGGCCCCCAGGTGAGTTTATGGGTCCAACCTATGGAGAGCTTCTCCAGGCAGAGTTAAAGAGAGTGGGACTAGGCACAGCCAAGTTAGACAGGGCCCTGGGTCTGAGGAGAGAGTGCTGTCAGCAGAACTAGTCTATGAAATGAAATGAAAAAATCAGGAGACTTGAACGGGGTCATTCCAGCTAGTTGCTAGCACAGATCATGGACTCAAATCTGTTTTCCTACTCTCAGCTCACTCATCACTCCCTTGGAGTAAAGGTGTTAATACGTCGCATACCATCCCCAGCAAGGGCTGCCAATGGTCTTGGGAGATTGCAGCCTGGCTTTTAGGGACAAACACAAAACACAGTTTTGGGGATTTATGTACAATGGGGTTATATCCTGATAAACCCATACTAAATTGAAAATATCCTAAGTCTGTTGACAGGATATACGTTGTTATGCATTTAATACACCTAACGTACTGAACATCACAGCCTAGTCTAACCTACTTTAAATGCACTCAGAGCACTTACATTAGTCTGCAGTTAGGCAAAATAATCTAAGACAAAGCCCATATCTTTCTTACCAGTGTAAACTAAAAAAAAAAAATAAGTAAGGTTTCTACTAAATGCATTTCCCTTTCACACCGTCATAAAGACAGAATCTCATCAGTCAAATCATTGTAAATTGAGGACCATCTATGCTTTGAAAAGGTGAAAGACAAAAGTCAAAAAGATGATGTGTTAATGCATTTTGCGTTGCCGTAAAGGAATACCTGAGGCCGGGCAATTGATAAAGAAAAAAAGTATTTGGCTCACAGTTCTGCAGGCTGGAAATGCATGGAGCCAATATCACTTCTGGTGAGGGCCTCAGGAAGCTTCCTCTCATTTGCAGAAGGCAAAGAGGGAGCAGCAGCATCACACGGCACAAAGGAGCAAGAGGAAGTAGAGCCTCCCGATAACTTACTTATCTCCATCTGAGACCTCCTCAGCTTGCTTTCACTGTCCATGTTTCTATCAGTATTTTGGTCACAATCATTTAACCAGTCTCTAAGAAGTTCCAAACCTTCCTGTCTCCTTCTGAGCCATCCAAACTTTTCCAAACTCTGCCCATTATCCAGTTGCAAAGCTGCTTCCACATCTTCATATATCTTTACAGCAACACCCCATTCCTCAGTACAAATTTTCTGTGTTAGTCCATTTGCATTGCTATAAAAGTATACCTGAGGCTGGGTAATTTGTAACGAAAAGAGTTTCATTTGGCCACAGTTCTGCAGTCTGTACAAGCGAGGCGCAAACATTGCTTCTGCTGAGGGTCTCAGGAGGCTTCCATTCATGGTGGAAGGTGAAGGGGGAGTAGGTGTGTGTGTCACATGGCAAAAGGAGGCAAGAAGGAGGGACCCCAGACTCTTTAACAATCAGATCTTGCATGAACTCACTTATTACTGTGAGGGGGACACCAAGCCATTCATAAGGGATCCTCCCCCATGACCCAAACACCTCCTACAAGGCCCACCTTCAGCATGGGGGATCGCATTTCAACATGAGATCTGGAGGGGACAAACATCCAAACTATGTCAGATGGTAAAGTAAGAACCTTCTATTTTATTTGTCCTTTTCCTTATTTATTCAACCTCTCACTGTATAATCAGAAGCTGTCATGTTCATGAACCTCAGTTCTTACAAGTATGAAGTAAAATAAGTGTAAGGAGGCAGGAATAAACCTCCTCACATCTCTGTTCCTGAAAAGGCGCTGCTTACTTGGTTTTACCACTCTCCAAAGTGGTCTGTCCACTCTGGAGTCGTGGTTGCAGTTGGCAGTGGGGTTCATGAAGGACGGCATTGTTTCTTTAACAAAGCCTCTAATTTTCTTTTAACTCAGAGCTTTATATACACCTCAAAAATAGGTTCAGACTGATTGAATCCATTCTCTGACAAATAACAACATAGAGTTAACCAAATAGTTAACTGAATCAAAATTTACATCTACTAAACATATAAAAATGTACAGAGCAGTTCTGGTGTTAACCTTTCATCTCTCCTCACTGAGGATTTAATTTTATTCTTAGCCAGATTTCACAGAGGTCACTGTGTCTGTGCCAGCCTCTCAGGATCTACTTTCCCTAGTTATTTTTCATTAAGAATCCTCTTTTAGGCTCCATGCTGTTTCTTCATCCATGCCTGTCACCACCAAAATCGTCATTTTTTTGCATGAAGGCTCTTCATTAATTTTCCTTCCCCATCTGCAGTTGCCCAAAGCGCTGCCTTTAAGAACAGAAGCTTCGTCAACTGTGTTTCTGTCGTTAGCCAGATATGTATGAGTGTGGAGCAGAAGGCAAGTGTTCCCTCTGTCAATACACATGCGGCAAGTGCCTGCAGCTGCCACCTGTTAACCAGGAAATTTTTTCGTTCTCTCTCTCTCTCTCTTTCTCACTTGATCCTTTGCTCTGTGTTGTGCTGTCCCTGTAAGCTCTCATCGAAGTAGAGAGGATGTTTATAACATCCAGTTTTGGTACAATGTTAAAAAATTTTCCTATCTTGCCCAGAGGTCATGGATGATGTAAACAACCTGGTTTAGCTATTCAACCCTTCTCGTGTCAGTTCTACTCAGTTTCTGTTTATCATATGGACATATTTTCTCCTGGGTTGGTAACTTTGCATCTTAAAGAGTCCTTGTCTCCCCGCTACCGCACACAGTCAGGCAAAAACACTACTTCTGCTGTGGGGATTATTGCATTTAAAAGAAAAACTGAGGGGCTCTGACAGGGTCTGCTTGGTCACGCTGCCTAGCTCTCCTTAGACCTGATTCTATATCCGAGCTATTTCCTTTTCGATCAGTTGAAACATGCTAATATAATGTGTGATGCTTAATACTAAGTGTCAACTTGATTCGACTGAAGGACACAAATTATCGTTCCTGATTATGTCTGTGAGGGTGTTGCTAAAGGAGATTAACATTTGAGTCAGTGGACTGGGAGAGGCAGACCCATCCTCAATGCGGGTGGGCACCATCCGTCCAGTCAGCTGCCAGTGCGACTAGACTCAAGCAGGCAGAAGGTGGGAGAAGTTGACTTGCTGAGTTTTCCAATCTTCCTCTTTCTCCTGTGCTGGATGCTTCCTGCCCTCAAACATCAGACTCCAAGTTCTTCAACTTTTGGACTCTTGGACTTATACCAGCGGTTTACGAGGGGATCTTGAGCCTTGGGCCACAGGCTGAAGGCTGCACTGCTCGCTTCCTTATTTTTGAGGTCTTGGGACTCGGACTGGCTTTCTTCTCCCCAGCTTGCAGACGGCCTATGGTGGGACTTCACCTTGTGATCATGTGAGTCAATACCCCTTAATAAACTCCCCTTCATATACACATCTATCTGATTAGTCCTGCCCTTCTAAAGAACCCTTGTATATAATGCTACAGCCAAAGATATACATGTAATTAACTAAATCAATAAATATTTCTAAGGTGGACACAGTGGCTCACACCTGTAATTCCAGCACTTTGGGAGGCCCAGGCGGGTGGATCACCTGAGGCCAGGAGTTCGAGACCAGATTGGACAACATGGTGGAATCCCATCTCTACTAAAAATAAAAAAATTAGCCGGGCATAGTGGCACATGCCTGTAATCCCAGCTACTCAGAAGGCTGAGGCAGGAGATTTGGGGAACATGCAAGGCAGAGATTGCAGTGAGCTGAGATTGCACCACTGCACTCAAGCCTGGGCGACAGAGCCAGACTCAAGCTCAACAACAACAACATAATCTGTTTATCTTTGCCATTATGGTAGATAATAAATAATTTGTATACATTTTGTATAGATAAATAAAGTAATAAATGACTAAAGGAACATTATAAAATAATAAAGTAATAAATAACTAAAGGAACATTATAAAATTTTGCTTTCTAGTTCTATAATGTCACTCACTGCACACTCTTTTCAAAACATTTGAATGACTGGCTAATTCACACTATTTGATATTTTAAACTGCCTACCAAATTAACAAAATGGAAGGAATTCTAGCCAGGCATTTTCCTAAAATCCGTTTTTCATAAACCAGGAAGGGATATCCAACTCTGAGAGAATCTCAAATGTTTGAACATTTTATCAGAATCAGTTTCATGATGATAAAAACCTTTTGTCACTCATTTTGTCAGATCAAATGACTTCTTTATTTTTACTGATAATTCAACAGGAGGAGCCTTGGCTAACACAGTTATTGACATTATCTCTTCCCACAAACACTGGCAGAGAAAAGTTTGAATTCTTAAGGATGGCCTTGCTCTGTGATGCTTCTGTGATTATTTCCAGCAGCATCTGACGCTTTCAGTAAAACAAGGGAAATGGCAGGTAGGCAGTTTGGTAAGTAGAGTGAATATGTGGGGTATATGAGCCTAGAGGGGAGGGTTAGCAAGTAACTAAAATGACGAGAATAACTTATCTGCCCTAGGGAGAGGATATTGTGAGAGAAGAAATGAGGAGCCTGGATTGAAGCCTGGAAAATCCCAATATTTAAAGACTGTGTTGCAGAGGAGAAGCCAGAAAAGAGCCTGAGAAGGAATGGTTGAAGAAGTAGGAAGGGTGCCAGGAGAATGTGAGGTCAGGATCGAAGGCAGGAGAATGTCTGGAGAAGGTGGAGATGGATGGTCTCTCATCCCAAGAAGAGAAACTCGAGTGGAGTGGCCAAAGCTGATGCCACATGAAAGCAAGGGAGAACCCAAAGGCACTGTGGTTTTGTTTACTATGTTTGTTTGTTCTTTCCAACCTTTGTTTAGGTTCAGGGGTACATGTGCAGGTTTATTATGTAGGTAACGTGTGTCACAGGAGTTTGGTGGACAGATTATTTCATCCCCCAGGTCATAACCATAGCACCCAATAGGTAGTTTTTCGATCCTCGCCCTCCTCCCACACTCCATCCCCAAGTAGACTCTAGTATTAATTATTCCTTTCTCTGTGTCCATGTGCACTCAATGTTTAACTCCCACTTACAGGTGAGAACATGGTGTATTTGTGTTTCTCTTCCTGCATTAATTCACTTAGGATAATGACTTCCACCTCCGTCCATGTTGCTGCAAAGGATATGATCTTGTTCTCTTTCATCGCTGCATAGTATTCCATGGTGTATATGTACCAAATTTTCTTTATCTACTCCACCCTTGATGGGCATTTAGCTTGATTCCATACCTTTGCTATTGTGAATTCACTGTGGTTTTAAATGCTCTGTTTGGTTCAATTGTGCATAAAGTTTAGTTCACAAGTAAAATCCCCTGACAGCACAAGTCCAAAAGTTAAGCAAAATATCTAATGTCCTGTAGGAGCCTTCATTCCTGGAAAGAAGAAGAATAAATTAACTCGTGGGGAATTTGTAAATTAAAGGATCTGGCAATGTATATAGTAAATTTTAATAAACAGGTAAAACTACAGATTTTTGTTCAAGTGGGTGGATTTATTTACTGTTAAATATTTCTGCACAAAATGTATGTACACTATAAATAAAACCCTATTTGCACCATGCGTGTGGGAGTTAACAAGCAAAAATGAAGAAATTTTGTTAGTTACAATATTTACATGTTTTATAAAAAAATCATGATGTTTATATTGCCATTTTGTTATCTTTCTCTAAAAAGAATGAAAAGAAAAATTTTTTTGCATGACATGAAAAGAAAGGAACTCTGGTTTTTGCAATTTCTGCTTAACATGTGTGTGTGTGTGTATACATATATATATATATATATGTGTGTGTGTGGCCTGTATGAAATCACCAGACCAGATAGGTAAGAATGACCCCAGACCAGAGTGAGTCAGTGTGGGAAGACGAGTAACAGGTCCCCCTCATTATGTTGTATAACCCTTTTTCCATCATTCCTTAGCATTGCAAAATAATCAATTTCAGTGACCCTAAAATGTATTTTTCACCTTGTTCCCTAACTGCTTCTTCATAAAAGATCAGAGTTGACCACCAAAGGATCATTTGTCATCTGCATGATTTTCCTCTTTGACTTTTATACCTAAACATGATTCCATGAGTTTGCTCCTCCTGGTGGCTGGACCACCATGGCATCCCCAGCAGCTGTCCAAGCCCTGGTTATGGTAACTGGGAGAGGAAATTAAGGAGACCGTTGCCTTAATGTTATCCGCTATTACTTGGTTACTTATGGGCACCTTTCCATTGTGAGCAAGCAGATAGAATGTCGGTGTAGTTCCTAAGGTCAGAGGTGGGGTTGGACAAGGGAAGAGAAGGAGTGGAAGGAAAGTGGAAGAACCAACAACAGACCGACCTTCACTGATATCTAGGTGTTGGCAAGGGCAGCTTTAGCCTGGTCCTTAAAGGTCTCTCTTAACATCAGTTCTTTTTTTTAGATGGTGTCTCACTCTGTCACACAGGATAGAGTGCAGTGGTGTGATCTCAGCTCACTGCAACTTTGACCTCCTGGGTACAAGTGATTCTCCTGCCTCAGCCTCCCAAGTAGCTGGGACTACAGGCATGTGTCGTCACATCCAGCTACTTTTTGCATTTTTAGTAGAGACAGGGTTTCACCATGTTGGCCAGGCTGGTCTCAAAGTCCTGACCTCAGGTGATCCACCCGCCTTGGCCCCTCAAAGCGCTGGGATTACAGGCATGAGCCATTGCACCCAGCCAAAAGGACACATCTTTTTAGTGGCATGTTCAAAATGTGTATAAACATCTTTAAGGAGCCAGTCTATTATAACATTACATATTTTCTTGTATAATAACTTGATTGTATTTAATCAATTCATTTATTTATTTTTTGAGACGGAGTTTCCCTCTGTTGCCCAGGCTGGAATACAGTAGTACCATCTCAACTCACTACAACTTCAGCCTCCTGGGTTCAAGCACTTCTCATGCCTCAGCCTCCCAAGTAGCTGGGATTACAGGCATGTGCCACCATGCCCGGCTAACTTTTTTGTGTTTTTAGTAGAGACAGGGTTTCGCCATGTTGGCCAGGCTGGTCTTGAACTCCTGATCTCAGGTGATCCAACCACCTCGGCCTCCCAAAGTGCTAGGATTATAGGCATAAGCCACCATGCCCAGCCAGAATAACTTGATTTTAAAGTCATTCCTCTCCATGCCATTTCTTCACGCTCCCTTTGCACAAAGGACTCTCAGAAGAACAGGGAGAAAAAAACTTTTTTTTAAGGATAACAAGATGTTTCATAAAGTCAAAATGGCATTGCCTTAAGAGATAGAGATTAAACCTTTCTGGGCCTCAATTTCCTTTTCTGCGAAATGGAGAATAACAATAGCACCCACCTCCTAGAGTTATTGTGAGGTTTGCAATAGATGACAGCTATCATCATTAGAAAGTGACAACTGAAGCTTGGGTCCAATTGGAATTTTAAAGATAACCCAAACTTGTAAGGGCCCTGTGTGCATTTTTAGATTCAATGTCAAGTCCACATTCAATATTCTGGTTTGTAAGACATGAAAGTTCAAAGCCTTTGTAGGGAAAAAAAATAGCTTACAGATGTCTTCTTTCTTCTTTCTTTTTCTTTTCTTTTTTTAGACGGAGTCTCACTCTGTCACTCTCAGGCTAGAGTGCAGTGGTGCAATCTCGGCTATCCGCAACCTCTATCTCCTGGATCCAAGCAATTCTCCTGCCTCAGCCTCCCAAGTAGCTGGGATTACAGGCACGTGCCACCACACCCAGTTAATTTTTGTATTTTTAGTAGAGATAGGGGTTTGCCATGTTGGCCAGACTGGTTTCGAACTGCTGACCACAAGTAATCCACAAGCCTCAGCCTCCCAAAGTGCTGGGATTATAGGCATGAGCCACTGCACCCAGCCACAGAAGTCTTCTTAAAGGGAATTCTTTATACATTTCACAAATAATTATTGAAAACTACTGTGTACCAAGTAGTGTACTAGTTCCTGAGGAGTGAGTGAAATAATCTCTGTTCTCACTGAATTCCTCTAGCAGAGAGGCTGTGCCTAAATACCACAAATAAATAACACAATCCATAATAAAAGCTATGAAGACAAATTCTGACTTGGTTTTAATCTCAGAGAATAGAATAGACAGTGAAAAATATTATACTAAGAAGTGTAATTTTGCCATTTCTCAATCTCAATCTTTTTTATCATTGATATGATGGCAGTACTTGGTTTCACTTGTTGTGTGTGGTGTTATTTAAGATAAACTGTGCCAAATACATCCTGAATGTTCAAAATTGGATTAAAATGCGGACTCATTAAAATGGCAAACTGTTGAGCCTCTGAAGCTACAGTTTCATATCACAACACACATACATTTCCAAGGGACAAGAAAGCCTGGGGTGCAGCTGGGGAGTGGAGGCATAAGCACAGCAGCCCCCTCGGTCACAGAATGCTGGGTCATGGTCCTGACAAAAGGAGTAAGATACAACCAGATGACCAGGTCATGGCATGCAGGAAAGTGAGCTTCCAGTGGAGCTTACTTTAATCAGTTTTCATTTGTACAAAGATTTATCCCAAAGGCTTCTCCTACATCTTCCCCATGGACCAGTAATTTTCAAGCTGTAGGTCATCACCCATCCACAGATGATGAAATAAATTTAGCAAGTACCCACATGCATTAAAAAATAAAATAAAATAGAAAATGTCAATGTGGCCGGGCCTGATGGCTCACGCCTGTAATGCCAGCACTTTGGGAGGCCAAGGCAGGCAGATCACCTGAGATCAGGAGTTCAAGACCAGCCTCACCAACATGGTGAAAACTCATCTCTACTAAAAATACAAAAATTAGCCTGGTGTGGTGGCACATGCCTGTAATCCCAGCTACTCAGGAGAATCGTTTGAGCCTGGGAGGTATCCTGGGCAACCAAGCCAGACTCTGTCTCAAAAAAAAAAAAAATAAATAAACAAAATAAAGAAAAGGAAAGAAAGAAATGTCAGTGTGCAGTATGTACTAGGAGCGAGGGCATCTGTGCTTTGGTGTGTATATGTATACTAACTGACCCTCTGGGCCCTAGAGCCTGTTCAGTGCTGGGAATTCCCTAAAGAACATCCTGTCCCCTACTTTATTCTGGAGAAGATCCTTCTAAAGTTAAAACTCTCTCCCAAGCAGACTGCACAAGGACAGGGGCCAAAGGGCAAAGTATCTGCCCAGGCTGAAGCTCAGGGGTCAATCTGAGCTAAGATGGTGTCTGGATGTGAGGCTGGCCCTGCAAAGGGACAATCCACATGCAGACGTGCAGTGTGGATTAGGCAAAGTGAGCAAAGTGACTGAGGCGGAGACCTAGTAAAATCCAAAAGTGCACATCCCACCTCCTATCATGAGGAGGAAAGGTACAGATTGCTATTCCTGATATTTGGCCATTTTTAGCTATAAAAACGTCAATCCATATATTGGGTTGGCGGAGGCCTTGGAGAGGTCCCTTATGGTTGCAAACTCTTTTTGGGCTTCACCTATGAGTGAGAAAGGAGCTGATAAGAGATAATTGGTAGTGAGATTAAGCCCAGGGCTTACGCTCATATTTTCTTTGTGAGGCTCTTTGCCCTTGTGCAAATGCTCTCAGCACCTGTCAGCTGTCTGTAACTGAAACCTTTGTGTTTTAAACAATGTATGCTTACAGGTAGCTTCCTTCTCACCTTAGCATCCCTCTGACTGAGACTGCTTTCCAAATACCACAGATATTTTCAGTTTTCTTTCCTCACTTGATAAGATGCTTTTTTGGGTGTAGTTATTTTAAAAAAAAAAAAAACACTTAGTATATGTAAAACCTTCTTTTCTTGCAAGAATCAGAGGATCAATCATTTTATTTTCAGAAATAATTTTGAAAATTTGAAATAAAATGTTCAAGAGGGCCAACCTCGCATTCAGATATCATCTTAGCTCAGATTAACTTCAGATCTCCACACATTGTTTTGGGATGACATAGAGACTTCTCAAAGAAAAGGAATGAATAGCTGGTTTTCCTTTGAGTTCTTAAGAGCATCCTAAAGGGCACTCCTTGATGGTAAAAGGGGAGGGCAGGTTGGGGGTGACGTTTTACCTTGGCAAATAGCGTGGTTACTGTCTATTGAAAGTTAGCAGTTGATGGAGAGGGCAGCAAGAGGGCAGGCTCCTAGCTAGGAATACAAACAGACAAACTGGTGGGGAAGAAAAAGCCACGGCAGGAAGGAAAGAAGCGAGCTTTTGCCCTGGCAGGAGTGGTGATCTGCAGAGGCGAGGAAGAGCCTCAATCCAGGGACCACTGGGGCTGGCATCAGCCGTTTAGATGAGATGACAGATACCTAGGGCAGCCACTTATTTCTTTGAAATGACCCGCCCTGTAGTTACTTCTTCAGCCTACGTTTCTGACTGACTCTTCAAGAATTTGAGTTCTTCCAAAAGCTTTTCTTGGTCAAGTCCAAAGTCCTCTTTATTTCCTATGTAGAGAGAGAGAGGGATGTTTCTTTAAAACTCATACATAAAACTTTTATGTTGTGGAAAAAGCATGTGCTTAGAAATGAGGCAGACTTATGTAGTGTTTTTTTAAATGCTCACCACAGACGAGCTGTGAACCCTTGAGTAACAGCAAGTTAGGAAACTCAAGGAGTTGCAGTTTCTTAACCTGCAAATAGGGGAACTAATACATCTGTAGGGTGGTGAGGATTACATAAGGTAAAGTTTATGAAGTGCAATGCTATTGCTGGGCACTCAAGAAATAAAATTAGCATGTATATTATTATCTTTCTTGTAAGTGCCACCATCCCAACAAGCAGCTAAAGGACAACCACAATGGAATGTACAGCTCCTTTAGAACACCAGTGTTGATCATAATATAAACATTTGCGGCATATTTACAGAATTTATAATTCAAAATGGGAATTTTTTTTTTTTTTTTTTTTTTTTGAGACGGAGTCTCACTCTTGTTACCCAGGCTGGAGTGCAATGGCACGATCTCGGCTCACCACAACCTCCGCCTCCTGGGTTCAGGCAATTCTCCTGCCTCAGCCTCCTGAGTAGCTGGGACTACAGGCACGCGCCACCACGCCCAGCTAATTTTTTGTAGTTTTAGTGGAGACGGGGTTTCACCATGTTGACCAGGATGGTCTCGATCTCTTGACCTCGTGATCCACCCGCCTCGGCCTCCCAAAGTGCTGGGATTACAGGCTTGAGCCACCGCGCCCGGCGAAATGGGAATTTTTAAAGGCTTTGATGAAAGTGTTGCATGAAGTTGCTTGGACAATTGCGTGAAAATCCTATGTAAGAAAAAAGGTATTCAGTTTTAATTCTTTTTTTTTTTTTTTTTTTTTTTGACGGAATATTGCTCTGTCACCCAGGCTAGGGTGCAATGGTGTGATCTTGGCTCACTGCAATGTCCGCCTCCTGGGCTCAAGCAATTCTCTCACCTAAGCCTCCTGAGAAACTGGGAGTATAGGCACACACCACTATGCCTGGCTAATTTTTGTATTTTTAGTAGAGACGGTATTTCACTATGTTGCCCAGGCTGGCCTCAAACTCCTGACCTCAGTGATCCGCCCACCTCAGCCTCCCAAAGTGCTGGGATTACAGGCGTGAGATGCCATGTCTGGCTCAATTTTAATTCTTGAGTGATTTTCAAGTCTAAGAATTATCCAAGCACTTAGCTTTTCTTTCTTTGTACTTCTACTGTTTAACATTCATCTATTTTATTCAATTATAGCTTCTCTATTGAGATGAACTGAGTAAAGTTTGGAGGAAAAAAGGCTTTAAAAATTATAGACACTTTAGACTTAAAGCTAAAATATACCTTAGGGATTATCTTGTCTAGTGTTTCCCAAATATTACTCATTAGAAAATAGCATGTCACTATTTTGTCATCCTTATATCATATAAAAATTTCCCTTATTTGATTGGCTTTTAAAAAAAGAAAGCACTAAATACTTTATTACTAAACAGTAATATTCAGAAATGTTGGGCCAGGCACGGTGGCTCATGCCTGTAATCCCAGCACTTTTGGAGGCCAAGGCAGGTGGATCACTTGAGGTGAGGAGTTCGAGACCAGCCTGGCCAACATGGTGAAACCCTTTCTCTACTAAAAATACAAAAATTAGTTAGGTGTGCTGGTGGGTGCCTGTAATCCCAGCTACTCGGGAGGCTGAGGCAGTAGGTTCACCTGAACTCAGAAGGCGGAGGTTGCAAGTGAGCTGAGATTGGGCCACTGCACTCGGCCTGGGAGACAAAGCAAGACTCTGGCTCAAAAAACAAAGAACAAACCAAAAATGTCACATATTTAATAGCAGTGAAATAAATACATAACTTAACACTATTGTCGTATCACCTACGGTCATCTTCTATACTACCAGTGCCGTTAGTAACAGACTTGGTAAGCGCTAATCACATATACCCCTCATTGGATAAGTGAGGACACTGAGACCCAGGCAAGTGAAGCAATTAGCCCTGTCTGCATCTCTCTGTGTTTGCAACTCCAGTAAGAGGCTTGATGTATTGAAGAATTTGGTTATTAAAACTCATCTCAGCATTTCACTTGTACTAATCCTTCCTTTTTATATTAGCCATGTGCTCCCTAAGAGCCAAGGGAGTAATCAAAATAAGAACGAACCTTGGAGAAAGAGAAGAAAGCATTGCTTACACAGACCACTAAAAAAAACAAAAAAACAAAAAAGCATTGAGATGGGTCAAAGGACAAAGAACTAGATTTGATCATTTGTTCTCTCTTAAAATGATTTTAATAATCGTTCGAACACATCCAAAAGCTAAAGCACAGTTACTGTTTTGCTTATCCAGTTTCTTGAGTCTGTTCATACCGACCTGACTAAGGTCAGCAGTATTGGCCGTCTCCTGACCCTGAGTGCCTTGTGCATTGAAACCCGAGTGTTAGTTCCTGTTTGCACCATTGTACCTTGTTAGAGAAGGTATTTCTATTCTCCAGAGAGTGAACAATAAGCTACTGTATGTTTGGTCTCCAGAGTTCATTTCTTCATGTTTTCATTAGTTTTATTCATAAGATTCTATTAGAGTCAATTGTTAAATTGCTGGAAATGTCCCCAACAAAGGACAAAAAGGTTCTTCTGTAAAACAACAGCCCATCCCCTGCCCAGACTTGAAGGACCATAAATTAGTGTAATAAATTGCAGAATATAAGTGAGTAACTTTTCTTCCTACTCTCCTAGGGACCTGGGGTTTGCAAGTCCATGTCTGAAACTAGGTCAGGAATACAGTAAAAATAATCCTACTAAATACAAGTTGGAGTTCGCTGCTTTGAAAAATTACAGTCCCCTCTAGTTAATTCAGAGTCCAATTTATTCCTTTTAATAGATTCAAGTTACCATGCATAACCTGGGATAATTGAAATAATTGTTAACATTGCTAATAACGTCTCAATTGAGATACTTTTTTTAAAAAGAATTCTTCCAATTCTGGAGTTTATGTAAGAAGAACATTCCTCGGTTGGTTCTGGAGATTTCATTAGACACAATTCTATTACAGAGTCACATTTCCCCAATGCTGTCAAGATCCTGGAATTCCTTTCTCTCTACTTTGAACTGAAGAAAGCATTTGACAATAAGTCTATTTTCATTCATTATTACAGAAAGCACATTAGCCAAAAAGGTACGAAATTTCATAGTGTGCCCAGTCATGTAATTTCTAGCCAAGAACATGAAAGCAAATACATAACTTAATATTTATTAAGAATTAAGTAATCAGAGGGGGCTAGTCACAAACAAAGACAGAAGTACACACAGTTCTGTGTCAAATGAGAAATTTGACCATATTGATTACAGTAAGTCCTAATCTATTATGAACTGTACATTTTAAATAGAGCAACATGGAAGGAGTTGCAATACAGTGAAGAAAAAAGCATTTTTAAAAATCGTAATGTATTGAAAACACTTACCAAATACTTCCCTCAATACTGACAAATGGGATAAAATCATAATCTATCAGAGCTTCACATTGTTTTTCAATACTACATACACTCTAATAAGGTCTGAAAACACCAAGGTAAGGTGGTGGGGATGAAAATGTTGCCAAAAATGTTTGTTTGTTTGCTTTTTTACAGCACGATGAATGTTTATCTTATTTTAAACTGAATGTCCCTTAACAGACAGCTGCTTAATAGCCCTCATACATTTCCCCTCCCTCCTCTTCTCTGATTTTTGCCCACAGCCATTCCCCTGAAACTGCTAGAGTGGCTTTTGCTATGCTTTGAATTCTTTAAAATAAATGGCCAACCATCTCTAACACACTGAAATACTGTTCCCAGAACAGTGATAAGCCCCTCTATTATGCAATAATGCCTCGTTCATTCCATAAATGTCAAGACAATTTCCCAACTACTTATTTGCTCTTAGTACTTTTTCCTGCAAACTCAGAAACCAGCTGCCATTCCCTCTGTACCCTTAAAATTAGGTTGGGATGTGTAAAACAATGAATGATATAAAGATAGGACTTCTTCATTCCCCATTATAACTGTGGAAAAACTCAAATTTAAGGACTGTGTGACTCTCCAGAGGACACTGCCGCCTCAGACAATGGTACATGCAGAGTTCTGTCTTGCTGTGGACAAGAACACCCCTGCCAGACTATGTCAGCCCTCTTCACTTGCATTTAAAAACAAGACAGAAGGACGAGACTTAGAACCAAGAGTCAGCTCTGACATTGCATTTGTGAATTACACAATTCTAAATAAAGCAACATCGGGACATTACAATAGAGTAAGAAAAAGGTTGATTTTTTGACACTGCAATGTATTGAAAATGTCAAGTAATTCCCTCAATTTATGGGATCAAACCTTCCTGCCTATTTGTCTGGTCCATTGGCTGGACCAGGTTTATTTACCTCTTGAACCCCATTTTGACACCTGGCCTCCATGCCTGCTTTTGCCTTCTTGGCCAGTCAGGACCCGTAGTTTCAGTAGCTAGTTGTCCTGCTCAGAGGTCATACTTTGTGATTTCCTCTAGGTTAGTTGGATGTCTCCCGTCTTTTCAACTGGCTGACATCTTACTCCCTATCTGCCTACACATGGCCTCTCTCAGGATCTACCAACCCATGTCATCCTGTACATCGGTGGCCTGAGAAATCCTTGGACTTGCCTCTGTCCACTCTTCCTCCCACTTCCTGTGATCTTGCACTGATGCCTGTCCAGTTCTCAAATTCAGAGTTAGGGAAACCCAGGAGAGATTAAAATTCTAGACCTGACTGAAAAAGAACAATGTACTATTGCGGAAAAAAAAAAAAAAAAAAAAAAAAGTGAGTACTTAGGTAATCAATATCCTTGAAAGTTATCATTTACTCACAGAAATTAATAGTTCATGCTGATGAATATTTCTTAGTATTGTACTTTGAAGGGGAAGTTTTCAGATCCTCAGTCTGAGGGGAAAAATTAGAAAGAGGATGACAAAGACCAGAAAAGTGCTTACAAGGATTGAAAAATGGGACCAATAAGAAAATAAGAGGGCATGGGTTGTTTGTGAGAAGAAATTAATTGGCAACTTCATAGTTCCGTTAAAGATGTGATGTTACTACATAAGCATTGGATTGGATTGTCCTCTCATTTTCTCTGTTCAATAAACATTACTGAAGGAACCAAAAAAAAAAAAAAAAAAAAAAAAGGGAAGAGGGTATATTCATTCTAGTACTTACTGAAAGTGGAAGAGGCAGCAATTTAAAAGGCAAATCATGGAGATAAGGAAGAGTTTCCTGAGAGTTGTCAGACCAGTATTTCCTAACTCCCTTATTTCCTTTTGTGTCATCAACACAGCCCAGCTGGCATAGGGAGTAAGTCATGAAAACGCTCCAAGTCTGAGACCCAGTCATTCCGCCTTGATGAACATACTCCAAGGACGAAGAAAAAAAGTCAGTTCTGCAAACTCGTTTATAGTAACATTATTCAAAATATAGAGACATCTTTTAGGGGTCAGCCCAATCGATGAGCCATCCTGTCTTCTCTAGAACTCCTCCTACTCTTAATCGAGGGGGCGAGTCCCTGGCAGCCATGTTTGTATTGGGTAATCCCACCTCCGGATCTACAATTCAGCCAGGAATGGGTCTAACGCAAAGCTGGAATGCGGAACTAGAACAGAGAATTGCAGTCTAGTCTTTGCATGTAAACAGGGTGGTAAAATAATCTCAGACTATGGGGTAACCCTACTCCCCTACAAAAAGATGCAATTAGGGTAAGAGAAAGAATGAAACAGGTTTATCAAGAGAAACAGATAAGAAACAAAGAAAAGGCTAATACCTTTCTGTTTCCTTCCAGATGCCCAACTGGTTTCCTTCTCCTTGACTCCATGGCATACCCCTCTATCTTTACAATAAATCACTTTTTTCAACTTAAAGTAACTTAAATCACTTACTGTTGCTTATAACTGAGTCTTAACTAAGTAAGATATGATAATTAAAAATTGGAAGTAACTCAAATACCCCAAAATAATTAAAGTATCGTATGTCGAATGTTTTTATTGTATATTGAATACTTTTTAAAGCAATATTTTAAATTATCTACATGGAAAAATGTAGACCCTTAGACTGCATGAGCATATTGCCTACAACTGCTAAATTGCAGATTTAGTCAACAAGAACT